CAAGCCTGTGCCCTGCGATGGACTGGTACCCTGTCTAGGGTGTACCCCAGCCCTGTGCCCTGCGATGGACCGGTACCCTGTCCAGGGTGTACCCCAGCCCTGTGCCCTGCGATGGACTGGTACCCTGTCCAGGGTGTACCCCAGCCCTGTGCCCTGTGATGGACTGGGTCGCTGTCCTGAGTGTACCCCAACCCTGTGCCCTGCAATGGACTGGCACCCTGTCTAGGGTGTACCCCAGCCCTGTGCCCTGCGATGGACCGGTACCCTGTCCAGGGTGTACCCCAGCCCTGTGCCCTGCGATGGACTGCCCTTCTGTCCAGGGTGTACCCCAACCCTGTGCCCTGCGATGGACTGGCACCCTGTCCAGGGTGTACCCCAGCCCTGTGCCCTGCGATGGACTGGGTCGCTGTCCAGGGTGTACCCCAGCCCTGTGCCCTGCGATGGACTGGTACTCTGTCCAGGGTGTACCCCAACCCTGTGCCCTGCGATGGACTGGTACCCTGTCCAGGGTGTACCTTCAGTTTAAAATACTTGTCAGTTAAAAAAATAATAATTGCTTCAATTTAAGATGAGTAAAAATAGGTTCAATGAAATTAGCGTGTCCTCACAATCCTAAGCAGTGTAATTACTTGTGATTCTGCGAGAGTGGGACAGACAGAGGTGACCAGAATATTCTACCATCATCTTCATGTACATTCTTCAGTTGACCAACACTGCATGCATTGCATGTTTCCCGGTGGATCATGAAACACTCTCTTTTGAATCAATACGGGACGTGGTCTGTCCCATATATTCCTACACATACATATACTTCATACTTACACCACCACATTGATTAGGGCAGGGGTCATCAACAGAACTACCTGACCAGGACACTTGCCTGGTTGGTAGCCATTATACGCATAATGGGGTAGATGTGAGGGCTTTTGTTGGTAATGACTAAAAATTGGTTTGGTATAATTCATCGCAGCCTACGCTGTAGCCTATAAGCTTGTTTGGACTATTCAGTTAGTTGCATTATTATTTTATCAACAATGCATTCTAAACTTTCAGTCCGTGCTACTAATAAAACTAACATTTACATCATATCATACAACCTTATTTTCTAAAATGTTTTTCCTCTGGATTAGTTAATCAGTTGCAGCATAAAATAATTGACGTTACAAAACAACTGAAGAAATCAGTGTACATCTTATTAAACTAATTGATTGTCTATTATGAGTTACATGCAATAAAATTGAAAGTTTTTTTTTTATTAAATTTGATCTAGTTTTGTGTTATTTGATCTTAACACTATGACAGTAGTGGCTATTTGGAGAAAATGGTTGAGGGCTAAATTACAGCTATAAATGACATCATTTAATGCACCTAATAAATTGGGATAATGTTAATTGTACAAAGTTCAAACATTGGATTTCACTGTAACATTTTGTTTTTATGGAATGATTGTCATGCAGCCATTTTTAAAAGGGTTTCTGCTCATTTCAGTTCACAATGTAAATTAAGTGCATATTCTACATTGTTGCCAAAAGCATTGAGAGTGTAGCCCCCTTTTCTTGATTGATAAATTAATTATACTTAATATATTAATTATAAATTGCGTGGCCACGCCTTTTTTTGGGTCATGTAGATGAGGGGAAAATATATGTGACTCAAAAGCATGTAACTTTTTAAGCGCCTTTTTGACTTAACCGCCTGGTGGGAGAATAGACCCCTGTGTGTGTAGGTAAATCACGGTTATGTTACAATAAGAGCAAGAATTATTTCTTATTCATTGTGCTTTGTAAAATTCAAAGAGTATATAGCTTGACTTGTGTATTGAATGTAATTGACCACCAGTCAGAATTCTCAACGTTTGTGATGTATGTGAAAATACAGTATCTAAAGATATGATATACATATTTTTGAAATGGTACTTTACAAAGGAATTCTTTAGCTTCTGCATATCCCATCCTGCTCTTCTTTAAGGCATACAGATGAGAATGACGCGTGGGGTCAGAGGGCAAGGTCATCCATTTTATCCCTGGAAAATATTAAGAACATTTGCCACCAGCAATGTAACTATTCTGCCAATCACAGGATCCCCTCCAGTGACCTTCTGATTACAGACAAAGAACATGCTAAGCCACACACTTCCCCTTAAATTCCACAAGTAATAATAATAGTATTAAAAATTTAAAATAAATAAATGGTTTCTTCTCAGAGGGATATCTAGCAAACGACAATCATGTAGTTGTAAGTACTAAAGAGATTATTGTTGGGTAGTGCTAAGTAGTCATTAACACAACATATTTGTATTTCCATTGATTATAATAGAATGGAAATTATTATCTTGACTTTATATTATAGAAGAATAATACCATATAGGGCTGATTTGCTACATTTATGCTTTTGTATGGTATAGTGTAGCAGTTTAGCGATCTATTCCCATGTTCGTAAAGTTACAGGTTTGAATCCTGCGGTCACCAGAGGAATCATGCCACCTTTGGAACTTTGAGCAATGCTCTTAAACTGGTCCAGAGGCACTGTACACTGGCTAACCTGTGCTCTGACCCCAAAACTGTACCTCTCATGTAGAGCAAGATGAGACTTGCAAAAATAAAAGAATTCAACCAGGGTTATACAAAATTCAAAATTTATGAATTGTGCCCCATTCCATTCATGAATTGGAATTTGAATTGAATTGGCCAAACCCCGCAGGATGTTGAATTGGAATGACAGGGAGAAGAACTTTAGTCAATTCAGTTCAAAGATATCCGATGGAAACACACAACACAGGAATGTCATGAATCCTGCCAAAACCTAAATATAATATAACAAATTTACTCTCTAGATGTAGATGTATAGACAGAGCTTGTATATGTATAAGTGGGTAAATTGTACTTTATATTTGTGTGACTGTAAGAGAAAAAAAATGTATAACATTTGCTCTATACTATCAATTTATATTTGGTTTGGGCAAATATTTATTGTTTTTGTATATTGAACTGTTTATGTGTATTAGCAAGGTAGTTCCATTTTAATTCAAAAGATTTCTAAAAAAGTTTTTGCATCATAATTTTTGGTTTTGATGATGTTCAGTCAGCTAAGCTCCTGTGCCCATGACTGGAAGATCATCAGTTTGAGCCTGGCCTCGGCAAAATAATCACTTCAGGAAAGGCTCTTAAACCTCAGCTCCATGGGGACCTCTGCAGGTGGTCGCCTTTCGCTGCCAAGCTTGCTCGCACCTACATCTCGCACCTATCACTGAGAGCAAGATAGGGTAGGTGAAAATAGAATTTCAATAAAGCAGCATCATTTATACATGAATTATACAACCTCCCAGAGCTCAGAAATGTTTTATTATAATTCATTAATATAGATACTTGGTTCAACTATAGCTCATTGGAGATATCAAAATGAATACTTTTTGAAGTAATCAAATTAAAAGAAAGCGAGATTAGTGTAGTTTCAAAATTACCCCCAGATACCTTTTTGAGGCTCAAAAAGAACTTGAACACTTTTTTCATGAAGAGGATCAAGTAACATGTCTGTATACAAATAGTACACATAAGTATATATTTCATTACAAATAATCAGCTTGTTATTCTAAACCCTTTGCTGTTTTTAAATAACCAAATGTAGTAAAAAAAAAAAAGTTTGTTTAATGAACTTTGACCTTGACCCATACCATGAAAAATGACTCTTTTTGAGCTTTCCCTATAGGTATAGTTAACCCACATAGCTTTATTAGTTAAAAAAGAGAACAAAAGGTACAGCTGAAAATCTCAAAATCAAAATGGTGATGCAAATACCATTTGTTAAATTTAAATGGAATGATCCAGTATTTTTGAAGTGTTTGCAGTAGTAGCTGTAGGATTTGAGTCAAGTTTGAAATGTATTATCATTTCTTGCTATTGTTTGCTGTAACAGCATTTTTGTTTTTAACATAGAAAACAAATGAAAGTATACATGGCAAACATAATTACTTTTACTAATTACTATAATTTTATGTCATTGCTGTTATTTATTTTCTTACATGTAGAACATCATTTGGTTCAAGCATGGCACTATAGCTAAAACCAAAACATAATGGAAATTTTAGTTTTCTGGGGAGACACTCAAATTTTCCTGTGAAAAGATCCACCATGGTATACAAAATGACAGCAAAATCATTTCTTTTATAAATGACACATCAAATGTTGCATTCTTTCATTCTGAATACCATGACATTTTTATAACAATGATACAGTATATGTTTTGCATGTTAAAATGTTATGTGCATTTGATATTGAAAGATTAAGCTGCATTATTACAAGGTTTACCTACACTGTGTATAAGAATTTCTTTTAATTCAATTTCGTTTTAATTCTGCTTCCATAAGTTCTGCAAGATCATTCTCACCTGCAATTCAACTTAAATTGAATTGGAATTTCAGGGCCTTTCAATTCGATTATGAATGGTGCACAACCCTAATTCCAACGTACCTTATACAAATAGCAAATAAATAAAGTATGACCCTATAAAAACCGACAGAGGGCGCTATATAATTGATTTTTCTTAAGCCTGAACGCAACGTCCCCATGTCGTCGTGGGGTTTCCTCCGGGTACTCCGGTTTCCCCCCACAGTCCAAAGACATGCTGAGGGTTACTAAATTACCCATAGGTGTGCATGTGTGAGTGAATGGTGTGTGAGTGTGCCCTGCGATGGACTGGCCCCCCGTCCTGGGTTGTTCCCCGCCTCGTGTCCGTAGCTTCCGGGATAGGCTCCGGACCCTCCGCGACCCAGGATAAGCGGTTTGGAAAATGGATGGATGGATGAATGCAACGCTTATTTTAAATAATTTAACTCCAAGTCCTGTTTATGATGACTCAAACCGAATAAAACGAATGTTTTGTTAAATGTCGTATATGTTTACGTTTCTTGTGCAAAAGGTCACAGCAATATTATTGCTAATAATATTGACACGATTTACGGAGCCGAAAGCTTCTACATATTTTCACCGAAGCACACTGTTTTAAAAATATGTACATAATTATATCAGTTTAACCGTGTAAAAAACCCTGGGTGTAATAATTTAAAATAATTTATCATTAATATTATTATCAAAACCACTACTAATAATAATATCAATAACAAATAATAATAATAAATATTATTATTGGTAATTTTGTCATTACTACATGGCAATCTAAGGAACCTGAATAATTTTACCGAGTCTTACTGCCTCCAAGCGTCATACTGGAGATTTTGCGCCACGAGGCCGACCAAGATATTGCACTTCGGTTATTTCCGACACGTAGTCCGGAGATCTCCGAGTCACGTCGGGTCGTACTGACGTCACCCTGAGGGCGCTCGTCGGCGCGCGCGAGTCGGGCCGAGCGGAGCGGGGGCGAAGAAGAGGAGGGTAGGAGCTCGGGAACGGAGGATGGGAGGAAGATTGGAGTGAGAGAAGGAGAGACGGAGAGAAATTGCTGTGTGTATATGTCTGTAAGACTGTGAACCGGAGCTGAGTGAGCCCGCATCGAGCCACATTTTAACTCATCCAAACTTTAAACTCCTTCATCTTTTTTTTTACTCGCCGTAGCTTGGCTTCAGTGCCGGGTCCCGGGCTTTTGTTTCGCAGCCGGGTCGGGCAACAATAAAGAAGGGGGGCAAGATAAACTAGCTGCACGTCATTTTTGTTTTCTTCTTTTTTCTTTTTCGTCCGAGAGCGGGAGAGAGTACGCTCAGGGACCGGCAGAATGGCGGCCAACATGTACAGGGTCGGAGGTAAGTGCTGCTTTATTTTAGGAACCTGCGCTAGCAGGCTGGCTAATGTCTATTTCCGCGTATTTAACCCCCACCCCCTCGTCACGCCGTCGCCGTAACTTTAACTAGCTGCTCTTTTCCCCTCCGCACACAAGGCAGGCGGTCCGCCGTTTCGGTTCTCTGGTTTAGGCCGGGTTATTCGCTGCCAGGTCCATCTTATCCGGGGAAAGAAAGAATACCGGCAAACAGCCGGTTAGCCATAATGCACAAGTCATTTGAAGGAATGGCGGGGGGGGGGTCAAGTTTTTAAGTGAAATGTACCATCGGTGGCTGCAATTACGATTGTGTACGCTTCGTGCGTTGAGACTTTGTTGAGCTTGGCAGGCTGTTTCTTAAAGGGATTTTACTTGTCTTTCAGTTAGTCAGCGCTGCAGGATAACACAATGAATGTTTATTTATTTATTACAATTATTTAAAATGCAGCACCTGTACCGGCTAGCTGCGGTAGGACGAGGGCTGGGCACCTAAACCCAGAGTGGGTTGATATTTTTTATATTATGATTCAGTGAAGTCCCCCAGGATCCAGTGTGCTTTGTCCTTTCGATGTACGCTGATGTCGGTGTTTGGGTCGGCGCATCCCAGAGATGCCGGATACACTTTAAGCGGAGGATGGCGCTTCCCGGGCTATGGAGGGTTAGGGTATGTAGGTCACAGCAATCAGACGGTGGGGGTGGGGGTACCTGAAGGTAGAAGTCACAGAGCCAAATGCCAAAGTTATGCAGTCTTGTTAAGTCGGCGTGGTGCTGACATGTCTTTTGTTTGTACCGCGTAGTGGAGTACGCCGCGCTGTTTTTTAACGCGGACTCTGCGCTTTTCTGTCAGTGGTCGGGAGCGTTCATCATGAATATGGTAGTGCATGACATCGGATCGGTTTTTATTTCAGGGTCATGCTTGGGATGATGTGTGTCAGGACAGGTGTCCGACAAATAAACCTTGTTTTGATGATGCTTTTGCACTTAATTATGAGGCATGTAAAGATTGTCAGAAAGTCTTGGCCGAGCATTTAATAACAGCCTTGCCATGGCCAGCATTAAATTTCTGCTAAAAACTTGTATTGGCCTTCATTTAACCTCCAAATGTAACTTACAGGCCAACTTTTTTCCCTTTGAAAATTAATTTACGTACATTCATATACCGTGGTGCTTTTACCTCGGGGCCAGGCTGCTCGCGTGTTTTTTTTCATTATTGGTACATGGCATGTCTTTTAAAGAGAACTATGAATTTTTAGATGTATTTTATACTGACATCATGTTCAAATTAGTTTCTCGTTTACGGAATTGTAAACGTGTGGGGCGTTTAGATGGAAGTGCTGAAAGCTGTCTTAAGTCGACTTGACTACCAATGGGGGGTCAGTTTTGGGTCCGTGCGCAGCGTCGAGGGCGCGCGTGCGCGCCGCCTCCTGCCAGACCGGGACTCCGTGGGAGGGCCGGCGTGCGCGCTGCCGTCGGCCAGCCCGATACTCCCTGGGAAAGCCAGAGTACGCGCTTGACAGGCTATTGTGCTACGCTGTCCCCTTTGCCGCCTGCTTGGAACAGAAAAGGGGTTATAAAGCCCTAAAGCAGACGCAGCTAATATTCCAGTTGTAGTCTAGAGTCTCTCATACAGGGAGCCACTAGAACTGGGTGGTAAAGTGCTCGCTAGGTGTACCTGGCTAGTTTAGCTTGGTAGAGCTTGTAATGAAAGCAGTTCTTGGATTCTTTTTCCCCATAAGTAGTTGTTTTGTTTCTGTGTCTGTGGTGATGGCATTAGGTAGTTATGAATTAAAAAGCCGAATGTTCATTTGATGTCTGGCCCTTATTGCAGGTAACCTTTGTGTCCTATGTTTCTTGAGTTGAATAGATATGCAGAACTGGAAATGTCTTCCCGTTCACATTAGGCACAGGCCAGAAGGATAACTTTTTGGGGTATGACGTTAGGTGTTCTGACTGCAGATACAGAGGTTTTGATCTGTGGGTGACAACCCAACAGAATAGGATCACAACTCAAGTGCTAAAGTTGTTCCTCTGGTTTTGTTGCTATTAGACTGTTTAGTGTTTAAAGACAAGCTTGCTAGGAAGAGCAAGGGCATCTACTACATGTTCATTGCATTATGAGTCCTGTTTCCACTGTATCACAAGTATCTCAGAGCTTCCATACAGGGCTGGTTGTCTGCTCTTGTTTATTTTCTGCCGGCTGCGAGCAGCAGGGCCAGAGGTGGCCCTATCAGGGAACGCATGACTGCTGTGACTCGACAAATGCTCCTGCTCCTCCAGCGTTTGCAGACACAGGGGGAGGTGTGGAGTTAGTTTTTCCAGTGCTTCTTGTCTGAGTAGGTTATATGTGGCTGACATGCAAAAACAGGTTCTGAAAAGTTCCCAAGGAGTGTTCATAGGACCTTTCTTGAACAAGTCTTCTGAGCAAGTGGACCAACTTTTGCTGCATTGTTGCTGTAGTTGGAGTAGTCTGGTTCTGTAGAACATATATGTATAACAGTGGGGTCTGCCTTCAGAGCATCCTCATGTGTTAATAATGCATATTATCAATATCTTAAAGATTATTTGTAATATTTTCTGGATTTGGAGTGTTGACTACTCGCATATAATTTTTGTTTCATATTTTGCTTGTGCTTTTATTTATATTTTACATGTTTGCCGTGATGACATTTCTGCCATGGTCCATACATTATTGCACAATTGTTTTGAAATGTAGCTTTAGGCTTCCACAATATCTTTTGAATATGGGGTGTGAGGCGATCTGTGCTGCTCTGTAGCGTGGCCATTGATTGACAGGTGCAGGAATGGGATTATTTTCATTCTTTTACCAAATAGTCCACCATTCTGTTTGCTTTCTTGTTATGAGTGCTTTTTCACAAACTGGCTTTATAAGGAATTAAGACATGATGTAAATTTAATCATTTGAAAAATACAGCTGGATACCTTACAAATAGGGCTGCAACAAAGGACTATTCTGATAGTCGAATAATCTATTGATTCTTGAAACGAATAATCAATTAGTCGAATGAATTGCCCAATTACCAAATAACTCTTATTTGGTATCACCTACCTGTTAAAATTTAAGGATAAGACCAAGGAAAAGTAATGTATGAAAACTACACCCGTTTTCACTAAATCAAGTAAACCAAACCATCCATCTAAATTTAAATTAAAAAATTTTAACAGGATAGAAATGTGCATTCTGTGCTTTGTGTATTCTGCTGTCTGTCTACACTCTGTTGCAACTAAATTTTACAATCATAGTTCTGTATTGAAATTGAGGAAGGTCAGCATGAGAGGCTGTTTAGGGCAAAATTACTGAAACACTTGTACATATGCATGGTGAATTGGTCCACACCACTGGAACAACTGCATACATACACTCACCATTTGCGCTTTGTATTAGCCTATACAATATACATGACATCAGTGTAAATTTCAATATGCGGGAGACTCCTGGAACTTACAGGAGAGGTAGGATGTCTTGTTGACAATGTCCAAGTCACTATTTGCATGAGCCTTAAGACTTAAAACTTATGAAAATATTGAACACATTTGATTTTATTGGAATGTCAAGAAGCTAGACAGACTGACTTAAGACAGCAATTTTGACCACCATACGCCTAACAGTTGAGATGACGGAAGCACACTGCAACTCTAGCAAAACTTTCATGATTGTGTCTGATAATAGAAATTTTTCTGTGACAGTGAAATTGCGTGAAAAGTTGTTAAGTGTAAGGCTGGCAATATTGAACTCCATTATCAATTCAAGAGATTATGCATTCTCTCAAAATAGAAAATGTTACTGCTCATAACGTGAAGTAGAACAGCTTTTAATATTAACATTATGTTAACTAGCATAACTGACTTACTGACATGAGTCCTCTTAATCCAGTGAGCTGACGTGCTTCCTTTCAGATGCTAGAGCAGTGTTTCCCAATGCAGTCCTCGGGGAACCCCGGACAGTCTGTGTTTTTGCTTCCTCTCTGCTCCCTGCGCACCTGTACCACATATTCAGTGTTCCTGATTGGCTGAGAGGGAGCAAAAACATGGACTGTCCGGGGTTCCCTGAGGACTGCATTGGGAAACACTGTGCCAGAGCATAGAGCAGGGGTCTCCAACTCCGGTCCTGGAGAGCTACCGTCCAGTAGGTTTTCTATCATACCTGGCTTCTGATGAGCCACACCTGTTCTCAGGTAAATACCAGGAACAGGTGTGGCTCATTAGAAGCCAAGTGGGACAGAAATCCTACTGGATAGTAGCTCTCCAGGACCGGAGTTGGAGACCCCTGGTATAGAGGATGTGCTCCCATACCAGCTATGGTCAACTTTACAAATTGACCAACTGACAACCTTTTTTTGGAGAATAGTGTGAAATGCTCCCATGCTTCGGAGGTTTTTGTTTTTGAAGCTACCATTGCACTTTGGTTAACTTCTTTGTGTATTTTACTTACATACATACATACATACACACACTAGAGCTGTCCAATTAATCAAATTTGAATCACGATTACAATTATGACTTCACACAATTATGAAAAAATTATAATTGAGAAAAACGATCTTTGTCTGTTTCTAGTATTGTAATGATGCCCTGCTTTATCTTGCGCAATAAATCCAGATCGGCACACTAATTTTTCAGCGGTGCACTTTGTCCCTGCCTAACATCTGTTAGTGAATTCCTTACAGCACAGCAGTCAAAACACTTTCACAGTCGAAATGGTAGGATGGGTACCTTTGGTTGACAAGAGATAAATGCACATAAGTTATTTGGAATCATTTTGGTTTCAACGAAACAGACCAAGAACAACAGCTAATAATTTGCAGAATGTTTCAAAGCTGTGGCTGCACCACAAGGCAATACAACCAATTTATTTAAACACTTAAAGCTTAATCATAAAGTGGTCTATGATCAAACAATACGTGAACAAAAAACTAAGAAATACGAGGCAAGCTCATCAACTCGTACTGCAACGCAGTCATCCATTAA